ACAGTTTATCTTCATTCCCACTCTTGCTAATCCCACACTCACAGCTTTTCCCTTTCCTTTCTTTCTTTCCTCCTTTCTTTGTTGAGCAGTGTGACCATCATACAGAGGAGGTCCAGTTGCGGTGCTGAGCTAAGACGTATTTGACTTAATGGACCGGAACACCTTATCTCATTCTTGCCTTCTTTTCTCATACTGTTCTATCATGATGTAATCTGTTGCACCTTCGCCACTTACGCTTCCAATGTCAACCTGGATGCTGCAGTCGGCTTATCTGCAGGTGGCAAGGATTCTGCAGTTTTGTTATTCACGTAGTTTGAATTGGGAAGGCTGCTAAACTGAAGTTTTGGAGGGTAGGAGGAAATAGTTGTTCATCCACAGTACCCGCCGCCAAGTTCAGCAGTTGGGACAACACTTTGTTTGCTCTCACCAATAATGCTCTGGTGGTCAGCTTTCTGGCTATTCTGACGTTTGTTTCGTCTTCTGAAGGGATTATAAATGTAGCAACTCCTCCTAGCGAAGTGTATTAAGGGGCTTTAGCCGTTCCGAAAAATCCTGGATGTGTGTTGGGTATCATAACCTCATCGCAAATGATTACCACTTCTAGATCTCGATATTATGAGACATGTTTGATGCTTGATACGGCATTTCTGTTATTAACGCCCTCTTGGTCTTCTCCACTGACTGAGCCGGCAATCACGCCGCCGAGTTCTTTCCTGAGCTCGCCTCATCCACATTACTCCATATAATCGAGTTAGCTGATCGGACCAGCGCCTCTGTGGCCTTCCTACTGGCTTTTTTATATATTGTGGGTACCAATCGATGACGCGTTTCGCCCATCTGTTGTCTGTCATCCGCTCTGCGTGATCGGTCTAGCTTCTTTTCCTTGCATACATCTATCTTTCACACCAAAACGTAATAAAAACTCATTGTTGCGTATACACTGTGCTCTGCTGACACTCAACTTTCATTGATCGCTCAGTAACAGCTAGTATCTTTTCTTGAGACAGTAATGTTCCACATTTCGCATCCATAAAAGAGCAGCTGCTTTATGGATTGTGAGACTTATTAAGGGAAATAACTTAAACCATTGTTTAGATACAATGAGAGATTGCATGATCTTCGAAAAACAAACTTTGATTTTTGGCAATTTATAAAGGTTGTTTGTGAGTACGTATGCAAAAAAGTGCCAGTTCCAATGCGTGACTTCACATCACCGGCTCGATTAATTGTTATCCGTTCGTTTGATGTGAACAAGCCGGGTGCTGAGGTCGAGAATCTCAAAGGTGGTGTTGCTGGTGGCTCTATCATCCGAGGTATGTTTTCATTGGTTCTGCATTTTATTTTTGATAAAATGCGGCATACGACGATAAAGTCCCCACTTTTTTTGCACCACACCCATACTTCACGTGTTTTGCATCATCCAGGAATTCTGCGTGTTGGACAGGAAATTGAGGTACGACCAGGGATTGTTTCGAAAACATCCGATGGGCGAGTGCAGTGTCGACCAATCTACTCACGTATCGTATCGTTATTTGCTGAACAGAATCAACTGCAATATGCCGTACCTGGAGGTGCGTTTTTTTTTTTTTTATCGTAAAACATCTTCCTGAAAAAAGTGATTAGTTTGTGCGATGTGTGGCAGCCTCACGGCAACGCTGAAATAGGTACCATTGGTTTTCTTCTGAGCAGTTCTCTGAAGGGGAAACAGACGGGGCGAGGGCCACCGTTGGTTAAAGTAAGAAAGTAGAAAATTTGCTGAGGGGTCGCCAAACTAAATATATGTTTTCAAAGATTTGTAGGACTGATTGGTGTTGGTACGCAAATCGATCCGACATTATGCCGTGGTGATCGTTTGGTTGGGCATGTTTTGGGCGCAGTTGGAACTTTGCCAGAAATCTTTACGGAAATCGAACTTGCTTATTTCCTGCTGCGAAGGCTGCTTGGAGTGCGTACGGAGGGCGGCAAAAAAGGGGCGAAAGTGCAAAAACTGAGCAAGGGTGAAGTGCTGATGGTTAATATTGGCTCGCTCTCAACTGGTGGTCGTGTAATTGCTGTTAAAGGTTGTTTTATCGTAATAGCTTAAATGCAGATATTGATTGATATTAGAAGTGATGCCAGAACGGGCTAGTACCGAAACTTACAGACGAAGGGGGTGGCCCGATTCAGGCTATGGAATAACCTGTGCCTCTACGACTTATTCATTCGTTTCAATGGTAAACTGGTACAAGCTGATGCCAGTGGTTCAAATCCGCCATCGGTTTTCTTCTAGTAACTCTTTGGAGTGAAAGGAGTAGAAGGAAGGGGGCGGGGAGGCGCATCGATTGCCTTGATTGTGTTTCTCTCAGCGACAGG